AGTACGTCCCGAACAAAATGGAATTAATACTTTTCAATTCTTAAGTTAATCACCAGTACAGTATAATTTAAGATCCTCTACACCGGAGTCAAATAAACAATTACAACGATACATTAAATATATCGTGGCAACTCTTCCAATTAATATAGAATTTCGGACTGGACAATAATGTACTTATATAAATAAAAGTTCTTCTCAACGCTTATTTAGTCTATCACTGAAGGAATTAACTGCTTGTACCGAAATTACTGGAGGTTTTCCCACGTTTTGACTAAGCGCAGACTAATAACGGTTTTCCCCCCTATATATCTCGTTTACAACGCAGCGAAAATAGCTTTTTCGAATGTCCCCTTGTCCCTTGTCTTTTTCAAATGTCCCCTTGTCCCGTCTTTTTCGCATGCCCCCTCGTCCCATTTTAATTTTCGGATGTCGTTTTATCCCCTGTCTTTTTCAAATGTCGTCTTGTCCCCTGACTTTTTCGAATGTCCCCTTGTCCCTTGTCTTTTTCGAATGTCCCCTTGTCTCGTCTTTTTCGAATGTCCCGTTGTCACGTTTTAATTTTCGGATGTCGTTTTATCCCCTGTCTTTTTCAAATGTCGTTTTGTCCCCTGACTTTTTCAAATGTCCCCTTTTCCCGTCTTTTTCGAATGTCCCCTTGTTCCATTTCTTTTTCGGATGTCGTTTTATCCCCTGTCTTTTTCAAATGTCGTCTTGTCCCCTGACTTTTTCGAATGTCCCCTTGTCCTTCGTCTTTTTCGAATGTCCCCTTGTCCCTCGTCTTTTTCGAATGTCCCCTTGTCCCGTCTTTTTCGAATGTCCCCTTGTCCCATTTCTTTTTCGGATGTCGTTTTATCCCCTGTCTTTTTCAAATGTCGTCTTGTCCCCTGTCTTTTTCAAATGTCGTCTTGTCCCCTGACTTTTTCAAATGTCCCTTTGTCCCCTGTCTTTTTCAAATGTCGTCTTGTCCCCTGACTTTTTCAAATGTTCCCTTGTCCCCTGTCTTTTTCGAAATGTCCCCTGTATTTTGACCATGTCGTTCGAGAGTATAAGAAAATCTGATGCCTCGTTATCGGAGATATTTTTCTTTAACTTAAATACTTCATGATCCTCTGATCCTTCTGAAGTGTTGCCTATCTGGGGCTTGAAAGCCCTTCTGCATAGACATTATCTTAAATCCACGTATCTGCTTAGTTACCCTCCGTTGTACAGCCTCAATGATATTGATATGTTTCATTTTGTACGGGTGTCATACAGTTCAGTATTTTAGTATTCAAGATGGACTCTAACTAGTGTCTTCAGCATTAACAGAAAGTTGTGTTCACTAAGAAAATTCTTAAACCTTCACTCAGTTTGGTGAACAATGTTTAACAATTACAACTCCCGAACAAAATATTCCTTACAACAATGTTAGATCCATACCGTACCGATACTATCTAATGTCTGATATATATACCTTCTGTAGCAGTGCCTTTTTATTTTGTAAGTACATAAGTAAACAACATAACGCGGTCTGCGGGGGACTTAACTAACCCCAAATGTATATTGTATATCTGGAAAGCAACTGTCTGGGGGTGATCTGGATTAGACAGCCTAACCAAGTAAGTGTAACATATAGTCGGCTTAATCGAGTTAGTGATTTGTTTAAGACAGCTCAACCCAGTTAGTGATTTGTTTAAGACAGCTCAACCCAGTTAGTGATTTGTATAAGACAGCTCAACCCAGCTATTGATTTGTATGAGACAGCTCAACCCAGTTACTGATTTGTATGAGACAGCTCAACCCAGTTACTGATTTGTATAAGACAGCTCAACCCAGTTACTGATTTGTATAAGACAGCTCAACCCAGCTATTGATTTGTATGAGACAGCTCAACCCAGTTACTGATTTGTATAAGACAGCTCAACCCAGTTACTGATTTGTATGAGACAGCTCAACCCAGCTATTGATTTGTATGAGACAGCTCAACCCAGTTACTGATTTGTATAAGACAGCTCAACCCAGTTACTGATTTGTATAAGACAGCTCAACCCAGTTACTGATTTGTATAAGACAGCTCAACCCAGTTACTGATTTGTATAAGACAGCTCAACCCAGTTACTGATTTGTATAAGACAGCTCAACCCAGTTAGTGATTTAGTATTTGTATAAGACAGCTCAACCCAGCTATTGATTTGTATAAGACAGCTCAACCCAGTTACTGATTTGTATAAGACAGCTCAACCCAGCTATTGTGATTTGTAAGACAGCTCAACCCAGCTATTGATTTGTATAAGACAGCTGATTTGTATAAGACAGCTCAACCCAGTTACTGATTTGTATAAGACAGCTCAACCCAGCTATTGATTTGTATGAGACAGCTCAACCCAGTTACTGATTTGTATAAACAACTCAACCCAGTTAGTGATTTGTACAAGAGAGCTCAACCCAGTTAGTGATTTGTATAAGACAGCTCAACCCAGTTAGTGATTTGTTTAATCATGTTAGTAATATTAATAAGAAAGCCTAACCCGGTTTAACCTGGTTAATGTCATGTATTAGATAGCCTTACCCGGTAGTGATATGTATTGCATGTAGACAGATTAACCTGGTTAGAGTTGTCTTGGCGCCATCTGATTAGTGATATATATCAGAGACTTTGGCATGGTTAGTTTTCTGAACCAGATAGATTAATATGCTAAGTTATATGCAACAGACAGCTTAAACTTGATAATAATCTGTCTAAAAACCATCTCCGTCACAACCAACACTGACAAAAAATCCTTAATAGCGTCCATCCCAACAGCATACCAGCGTCCGTCCCAACAACATACCAGCGTCCGTCCCCTTGAATGGACAACATACCAGCGTCCGTCCCCTTGAATGAACAACATACCAGCGTCCGTCCCCTTGAATGAACAACATACCAGCGTCCGTCCCCTTGAATGAACAACATACCAGCGTCCGTCCCCTTGAATGGACAACATACCAGCGTCCGTCCCCTTGAATGGACAACATACCAGCGTCCGTCCCCTTGAATGAACAACATACCAGCGTCCGTCCCCTTGAATGAACAACATACCAGCGTCCGTCCCCTTGAATGGACAACATACCAGCGTCCGTCCCCTTGAATGAACAACATACCAGCGTCCGTCCCAACAACATATCAGCGTCCGTCCCCTTGAATGGACAACATACCAGCGTCCGTCCCCTTGAATGGACAACATACCAGCGTCCGTCCCCTTGAATGGACAACATACCAGCGTCCGTCCCCTTGAATGAACAACATACCAGCGTCCGTCCCAACAACATACCAGCGTCCGTCCCCTTGAATTGACAACATACCAGCGTCCGTCCCCTTGAATTGACAACATACCAGCGTCCGTCCCCTTGAATGAACAACATACCAGCGTCCGTCCCCTTGAAAGAACAACATACCAGCGTCCGTCCCCTTGAATGAACAACATAACACCGTCCGTCCCCTTGAATGGACAACAAACCAGCGTCCGTCCCCTTGAATGAACAACATAACACCGTCCGTCCCCTTGAATTGACAACATACCAGCGTCCGTCCCCCTGAATTGACAAGATACCAGCGTCCGTCCCAAAAATGACTATATAACACCTGTCCTTGCTTTGACAACATACCAGCGTTCGTCCTCTTGAATGGACAACATACCAGCGTCCTTCCCCTTGAATGGACAACATACCAGCGTCCGTCCCCTCACTTACAACCTTACAACATCATCCGTCCCAGCACTGGCAATATTACAACAGCGTCTGTTCCAGTACTGATAATATTACAATCCCTAGAAGATTACTTCGTCTGACATACCAAGCTACGATTTTGAGTAGATTGAAGATAGACGGTGACAAATAATGCAGAAAGCCCCAGTAGACTAGGAGTTTAAACAGTACAACTTTGTCGTTAATCAGTAACAGACTCCGGTAGTTACTAGTCAAGATGTGTTCCCAAATTGTCGTAAGTTTGGCAGATGTCACTTATTACGTCATTCTAACCGGAAGTACATTGTGTACAAAATAGCTACAGCAGTACCACAGTGGGTTCGGACAGTTTTAATTGTAAATCGTAGTCGTGTAAACAGATGGATGTGACGTGACACTGCTTATCCCCTTTGTACAGCGTCGGTTCGAGAGGAATAAGAAGAAAGTAGCACACTTTCTTAAATGGCCACTCTCTACCAGGATAAGTTGCATAATTGCTATACATGTTGATCATACACAGCGGACCATTAAAAATGTCAACTATAAACGGACCAGTTGTTGAGAAAAAACAATTTAGATAATTAATTGTGTCAGCGAATGCGAAACATAGATATGTTTGAAGTGCCAAGGTAGATAACATTTACATAAGTAGAATTTTTACCAACTCCATGCTTATAACCAGATCTTTACACCATCCGTAACTTACGTCATGATAGTAATGAACATCAGTTGTATACATATCATTATACCGACTGTATTGACTTTCATTTTAGTAATGCACATCAGTTGTATAAATATCATTATACTGACTGTATTGACGTTCATTATAGTAATGAATGTCATTTGTATACATATCACTATACCGACTGTCATGACGTTCATTACATTTATGAATGCCAGTTGTATACATATCATTATACCGACTGTGTTGACGTTCATTACAGTAATGCACATCAGTTGTATAAATATCATTATACTGACTGTATTGACGTTCATTATAGTAATGAATGCCATTTGTATACATATCACTATACCGACTGTCATGACGTTCATTACATTTATGAATGCCAGTTGTATACATATCATTATACCGACTGTCATGACGTTCATTACATTTATGAATGCCAGTTGTATACATATCATTATACCGACTGTATTGACGTTCATTACATTAATAATTGCCACTTGTATACATATTATTATATATGTATTGATGTATGAATGAATGCAAGTTGTATATACATATCATCATACCAACAATATTTACGTTCATTGTCCAACAGGAACTGTATACATACCATTATTTCAATGGCTAACTGGTTCATTAGGATCACAAAGCCGCGACCATCTATTGCCATGGTAACCAAAAGTGGCGGTGCCTCCTAACGGCACCTTTCGGATGACCATGAACCCAATTATGAGTGAGCGGATTATATCAAGTCATGGATACTATTCACACTTAGTAACGATCTCCGGACAAACTCAAAAGTTCATCCATAGTATGGGATTTGTATTGCCATCCGTATCATCCGTTGTCAGCCTCACCATCATCTGAGATTTTTCATCAGACACAGAAATTTAAGATTTAGGAATCACACACTTAAGAACTTATGTTTCATAATCTCAAGGAAATCCATAGGAATCCTGTCAGTTGCTTACACAAGGACGTTACATCAGAGACCTAATGTGTCACTCCAATGTTATTTCACGAATAGAAAAATGCACGTTCACATGCGCGAGACAGAGTCACTTTCAGATAAATAATACGTCAATATGGTATGGTTGTAATTTCAGTGGTGTCTGTTACGCAGGCGTATGCACGTCTCTCGCGTGATTCTTATGTTTACCACGAGTTCGTGGCTAAGGGTATGGCACAGAGGAAATATTGGGAGGAAAGCTACAGTATACCCTTATAGTCCCTCTCATGTCGGACGTGCCTGATCGGTGTCATGGTCGAAAATGCACCTGTTCAGAGATTTGGGCGAAGAATCTTTGTTGTGCGAAAGAGGCGGATAACTTTTGCTTGGGTTTTGCACGTGTATGCGTGCGATTCTGTCAATAAAAGTGCTCTCTGGCAAAGATTTCAGTATGTATTTCATCATTCAACTAATAGATGTTGGATATGCCAGGATCTATATAGGGTGTGTATCGAGAGGTATGTACTTGATAAATGTACTAATATATTGTTTGGTTGCCAAGTTAGCTAAAATACTTAGATAATCCTCCACAGCCAGAGTGACTTTAAAAGATACATAATTCTGTCACGGATACATTCTGTATTCACGTGTCGAATGGGTAATTAACAGTTCGTGTCTCCGACTATTAATTTTATCGTTTAACGATGTTTCACGAAGTCAAGCACACGCTTTACAATTATGATATATCTAAAAGTACATCAAACACGAAATTCAAGTAAATAATTTATCTGTCGATCTAGACCATTCAAGTGGGAAAATAACTGACACAATAGCAAGTTTCCCGAGCTTGATTTTTTTAAAATATAAAATCTATGGCTATATGAAAATCTATTAAGGCTTTATTTACAGTTTGAATTGTGTTAAGGGAAAGATATTTAATTTCTACTCGATTTGACTCATTCGTACAAGTCACATTGCCGACGTATAAATCTAAGTGATTTTTTAGACTTATTACCAGTTTTAAGCAGTAAAATTTGCTTGGTGTAGTTATCTAAATGATAACCTAAAATCAAAATTCTCTTTTTGTTTAAAAAGAACATTGTAATGATAAACTTCACTCTGTTAATTGTCTACAATCACAAGTTGCAGGAAATCAAGAAACCAGTTAAATATTATGATATTGTTTTGGTCGATGTCATGGGCTGATGACTGGAGCTGGTGCTGTGACAAGTTTAACATATACTGATTTAGGGCACAATTTGTCCTTAAACCAGCCCACTTCACCTTAAGAAATCTGCAACAGCTACATTTAACTGTATACGAACTGTTATATGTCCGACGTATTCTACACAACGACTTCATACACAAGTTACCCATAATACGTACACAGAGCTCACTGCCATAATTAAAACACAAGTTACTGCACGTGCATCTCTTCACGAGGCGAGCTTAATTCTCAACACACCCTTACGTGTTGTAGACGTGTGCAGTACTACTGAGGCATGTGCTGGACTAGTGAGAATAATTCTCTCTAACTCTACCTTTCTTCAAGCTGTATTACTAATCTCTCACAACTGTTATTAATCAACTTCAGATCAACGTTTGGCAAACTTATGTAAATGTTATGTATTTCTAATTGGCTACATGACTATAAACTCCCATTTGATAGTTCGGGATTTTCGTGATCCTAACATCAACTGTCAAAATACAATCGGATGGTGCTAGAATTTATGTACAGCACTCACAAGGCGGATCAACATCGGAACACCTCTGATTGTAAGCCCATATGCCAAGAATTTCCGAAAGGTGATGACTTTTACATTGCAACACTCATACCACCGCGAATTCTGGAACACTCTCTGTAAAGCACCAGGAGACAATACAGCGTGGTATAACACGAAATTGACTGCTTATATCAATATCTAAACAAGACCATTAAATATATATGTCTTATGTATATTTTCCAGGAATAGATCGGGTGAACAGTAACAGAGATAGAGATTGACACGGCGAGAAACATAATATGACAAGCTCACTGTAACATCTAACTTGCAATACACAAGTTGCCAGATCCTGACTTTCCCATTTACAAAGTTCAAATTTTAATAACATGTAGTATTTCTACATGAGTTGAATTGTTCTACGGGATAGAGTAATCACAAAGCTGTGATAAAATCTACATTACTTTGCGCCATCCCTACGTTATTCTGGCGAACCCTTTCGTGCAGAAAGGATTATGTACCACAGTGTTTCCTGGCGTTTGTATTTTAGATGTTTCACAGTGTATGTGCTTTGTGCATTACTCAAAATAGATAATATTATGGAACCCCCTGAGTGACTCCGAGGATGTGCACTGCAGATTACACACCATTTTAAAACACTATATACATATATATATAGGTAATGTTGCATATGTATATTATAAATATGGTGCACAGATAAACTGATTTGAATATAAGACTTTATACACATTATCATACTGATAACACTTGACATAAGACAACTATCTTTCCCAGAATGCTTTGGTAAAAAAAACATGACAATCCTGATGTCAGAAACTGGAATTATATAATGATGTATTTTCTTAAACCTGAACTCTGAAGTTTTCCCGTAAAATCAAAGTACTATATACATCGGTAACGACAACATTCCAATGTGTTACGAGATTGTCATCTAGTTTTATAAAAAAATTTAGAATATTGAGAATAAATTGTGACGATTGTGCTACAGCAAGTCAAATTCAAAATACTTATACCAGAAAAAGACACTGTAGTCCATACTTTGCGAACTAATTATCCGATTCAGATTGCACACACTGTCAACAAAACGTGTGTTAGTAACTGTACACGATTTATTTCCCAAATCCTAGAGATCCTAAGATGTGTGTTAAGGGTTACTCTCGTGTAATAACTAGTATGTGTAGCATGTCTGGTAGTCACGTGACTTTTGAATACGTAGGTGTCAGAGTAACTGGTCACTATATTAGTTTCAGTTTACTCACGCACCTGCCAGTCATACGTATTGCAAATTACAGAAAGTCTACAACCTGTCAATATCAGAGAGAAGAATTTAAAGATATAATTTTCTATTACAGGTAACCCATTGCAGAAAATAGCAAAAACAGAGAAAACTTTTCAAAGAGTCATCATATTTTGCTGACACAGAAAACGTTGTGTCAACAGGATAAACATCTCTATAAAAATCTGATATAGACAGGACCAGATTTTACACGTACCTGCACGTGCACTACATATCGATGTTCTAGTGGTTAGTACATCTACACAGATGATGGACATAAAAATTAATGCAATCTTGATAAGTTGGAGATATTTTGCTTTTTGATAACGTTCTACGTTATATATAAACGTGTCCTAACGTGAACGACTCCGATAGAGAGACGTAGCATTAGCGACAAAATTCTACGTCCAACATGAAAAGCTTTATCATTCTTGGCAAAGAAACATTTAATATGTGTACTGTATAAATCAAGGAAGATCCTCGTTAGGCGTCGAATGACAAACTGGAATTAGACATTCTTGTAATACATGTAGTCTCCGGAATCTGGACCCAAACCAGGAGCTCCTGTTAGCCTTAGAATGCTTGAAGGGAACCATGAGCTCTTTGTTTGCTTTCAGAAACCAGAAGGTTTTCCTTGCCTTTCAAATCTTACCAATAACTTTAACATCGCTACTCTGTAACGGCAAGGAACGACAACTCTGGTAGAGTTTGCTAGGTTAATACAGTTTCGGTACAAAGCTTATAGATAACTAGGATTAAAGTCACAGTCACGTGATAGGTCAGATCGAACCAACACTCGATGAAATCCAGTGATATAAGTTATTATACATATGAACTTTTTACCTTGACACAACTATAATACTGTCACTGAATGACCCAATACTGGTCATGTGATATAAAGGGATTACTAAAAACAAGAAAGATTTGTATTAGAAATATCAGCATCTGAAATCGATAAAAAAACAAAACAAAACAAAACAAAACAAACCCAGTCAGGTGTTTCCGGTACCATGACTGGCAGCGAATGGGTGCCACCAAACCTGGAAACTATATGAGTCAATCGTGGTTTGATTTTTTTCTAAACTACATACAACTTAGTTGAAATTCTCTGTAATGAGCAGGACAATTAGTGAAGATTCAGTGTGTAATGTTGTTTTATATCGTCCTGTACCTACACTACGTCACTAAATCAGGACCATTTCTCGACTGTGTACAGTCATAGAACCGGCTTATAGCAATACCTAAATAAGGGATCTACAGTCTGTTTATACTAAATATTACAGTAAGTAGAATGAATGTCGGCGGCTTTTAAATCAGTGTCGTCAGTATAAGATGTTTAAATAATATACAGGTGAGTTCTCTGGTGATATACCCTTTGTGTTAGACATTCAAATGGACATAAACTGGTAATGACATGCATCGTATATGACATCTTTGTGTTTTTATATAAATGGTATTCTCCATCGTGTCTTCCCTCTATACATAGGACAATGTTGATGTTACTGGTAATAAATTCGCACGTACGACCTACCTTTAAGGGGATATACTCTGTCCGAGGGTGGTCCATGTTGATTTCTCACCGTCTGGGATGTCGTATACTTGTGTGTATAAAAAAAACTCTGTCTTACCTACCCAGGTGCTCTAATTGACCAACCAGAACTGACACGTTCATAATGTCACCACAGATTTAAATCCCCGAAATTAAAGAGTTCTTCGTCTACATATAGCAAAATAAAAGGCTGTTAAATCTGTTCATTC